GCTCTTTCAAAAATTTTATATTTAACGGGACATAATTCATATTCAGGTTGCAGATTCTGTAACCTTCGAGGAACTTTAAATGAAATGAATAGACATGTATATTATCCATTACAACAAAATATTGATCCTATACGATTACCAATTCGAACACATGATGAGATGCTGACTAGCATAAATCAAATAGAACATCTGAAAGGAGATCGTAGAGAAACTTATATACGTAACTGCGGTTAGTTCAATATTTTAAATAAACTCATAGTTAAATTGATTAATATATTTTCTGAATTTTTAAAATTCTTGTTTAATAAAAAAAAATTAGGAATTAAAGGAAAGAGTATATTATTTGAGTTATCTTCTATAAAATTTCCGCGTTCATTTCCAGTAGATATAATGCACCTTTTTTTCGAAAACATTGCACCTCACATGTTTTGACATTGGATAGGAAAATTCTATCCAAAAAATGATGAACGGAATTCAAATAATTATACAATAAGTTCTAAAACATGGATTGAAATTGGTGAAATCATGGAAAAAAATAGATCTAATATGCCATCTGATATTGGACGTCCTCCACGCAATATCATTAAACATTCGGCTGGGTTTAAAGCTGTGGAATGGGCAAATTGGATTATTTTATTTTCTTTACCATTATTAAAAGGAAGGCTGCCACATACAAAGGTAATAATAAATAAAAAGAGTTAATTGTAAAAAAATTGATAATATAGGAAAGCTTATTTAAATAATTTAAAATAATAGTTACTTCTTAGGATGGTCAAATTTTGTTGAAGCTGTTCAGTTATGTATTCAACCTCGAATAGATTTTGAAGATCTATATAAAATCTGAAATTTATTGATACAATTTTATAATCATTATGCAAGGTATCATCTTTATGGAATTATATAATAATATTTTATACATTAATTAACATGTCTTTTTATAATAATAGTTCATACGGGTTAGAAGGAGAAAGATTGCCGGTGTATTTAATTTCTTTTCATTACTCTCTGCATATAGGAGATTGTATTGAAGATCTTGGTCCTTGTCGTGGATTTTGGCAATTTCCGATGGAAAGGTATTGTGGAATGTTAATTCCACTTATTAGCTCTCAAAAACTTCCATATGTGAATTTAATTAATAATGTGTTGCTGCAAGAAAGGTTTAAGTATCTACAATTTTTACCAACGTATGATGAAAAAGTTTTTTCCAATTTCAAAGAAAAGGAAAAATCATGGCCATCGCATAGGGTAAAGTCTAGTATTGTATATGATAATCAGTATGAATTTTATTCTCCGTGTGTTAATTGTAAACTAACAAAAAATGAGGCTATAAAATTAAAGCAATGCTATGCAGCTATATTCCAAAAAAATGCCAGGGATATTAGAGTAATTTTTAATTATAACTACTTTGCATTGTATATTTATTTATTTTTGAATACTTTTACAGATGTAATATCATTATTTATTATTTAGGACATTGAAGAAAGTTATATGAAGTATGGGAAACTTCGTACAAAAGATGGCAATATTGTATCTTCTAAATGGTGGAAAAAAGAAAATGATAGTAGTCGAAATGATTATTGTGTCGCTGTAAGAAATTGATAATTAGATTTTATAATTATTATAAATATCATTCAAATATTAAACAGAAAATTTTATTATAGATTAACTTAACTATTGATGAACAAGAAGAGGAGACTTTTGGACAAGTTGAATATTTCATGCTCCATAATATGCAAAATCAAGAACGAATGTTTGCATATATTCGAAAAATCAAAAAATTGGAGAAAAATATTGGAAATTTAAAATTTTTTGATTGCTTCGGTCCTCTACAATATGTGGAAGTAATTGGTATTGATAGAACTGTTGGATTTTTTGAAGTGTATGATAAAAAAAATTATTATATAATAGACAAATATGCAAACTGGTAATAACTGCAAGCTGATAATAAAATAACATTTTTTCATCTTTATAAGAATAAAGTTTTCGTAAATTTTTATTTATTTTGATGATCGGGAATGTCAATTTACTTTTAACTTTATAAAGGCCTAAATTTAAGGAAAATTAAGTTTCAATCGCTAATATTTTCGAGTTCAATAAATCTTTATATTGGTTTCATAATAAATAAACGAGAATTTCAAATTTTTTTTTGTCGTAAAATAATAATTTTTTTGACGTAATTGAACCAGTTGCGATAAACATACACGTGATCGGTACTACGGTTAAATGTTATCGATTTTATACATATAGGTATACGTTACGGCGGGTACACAGATATAAATCTGTCTCTTATACACATCTAGATGTGTATAAGAGACAGTTTATAAAGAGTTATTAAATGATGCATATTTTCCCGATCCTAGAGATGTTGCATTTACTGCATCTTGTGACGGTTATCAAATATTTCGACAAAAAACTGATGACTGTTGGGTATTTCTTTTTATAAATAATAATTTGCCTCAAGAATTAAGGGTAAAAAAAGAAAATTTAATGGTAACATTAATAATCCCAGGGCCAAAACAACCTCAAGATTTTAATTCATTTCTCTATCCATTAATTCAAGAGATGAAATTGTTACAAGGTATATTAAAAAATATGAAAAATAATAATTAATATAATATTTATTAATCATATTTTTGTATTTACAGATGGAATATTATGCTATGATGGAAACAAAAAAGAATATTTTACTTTACGTGCTCACATATTAGCTTGGACTGGAGATCTTCCTGCTCTTTCAAAAATTTTATATTTAACGGGACATAATTCATATTCAGGTTGCAGATTCTGTAATCTTCGAGGAACTTTAAATGAAATGAATAGACATGTATATTATCCATTACAACAAAATATTGATCCTATACGATTACCAATTCGAACACATGATGAGATGCTGACTAGCATAAATCAAATAGAACATCTGAAAGGAGATCGTAGAGAAACTTATATACGTAACTGCGGTTAGTTCAATATTTTAAATAAACTCATAGTAAAATTGATTAATATATTTTCTGAATTTTTAAAATTCTTGTTTAATAAAAAAAAATTAGGAATTAAAGGAAAGAGTATATTATTTGAGTTATCTTCTATAAAATTTCCGCGTTCATTTCCAGTAGATATAATGCACCTTTTTTTCGAAAACATTGCACCTCACATGTTTCGACATTGGATAGGAAAATTCTATCCAAAAAATGATGAACGGAATTCAAATAATTATACAATAAGTTCTAAAACATGGATTGAAATTGGTGAAATCATGGAAAAAAATAGATCTAATATGCCATCTGATATTGGACGTCCTCCACGCAATATCATTAAACATTCGGCTGGGTTTAAAGCTGTGGAATGGGCAAATTGGATTATTTTATTTTCTTTACCATTATTAAAAGGAAGGCTGCCACAAAGGTAATAATAAATAAAAAGAGTTAATTGTTAAAAAATTGATAATATAGGAAAGCTTATTTAAATAATTTAAAATAATAGTTACTTCTTAGGATGGTCAAATTTTGTTGAAGCTGTTCAGTTATGTATTCAACCTCGAATAGATTTTGAAGATCTAGATAAAATCCGAAATTTATTGATACAATTTTATAATCATTATGCAAGGTATCATCTTTATGGAATTATATAATAATATTTTATACATTAATTAACATGTCTTTTTATAATAATAGTTCATACGGGTTAGAAGGAGAAAGATTGCCGGTGTATTTAATTTCTTTTCATTACTCTCTGCATATAGGAGATTGTATTGAAGATCTTGGTCCTTGTCGTGGATTTTGGCAATTTCCGATGGAAAGGTATTGTGGAATGTTAATTCCACTTATTAGCTCTCGAAAACTTCCATATGTGAATTTAATTAATAATGTGTTGCTGCAAGAAAGGTTTAAGTATCTACAATTTTTACCAACGTATGATGAAAAAGTTTTTTCCAATTTCAAAGAAAAGGAAAAAGCATGGCCATCGCATAGGGTAAAGTCTAGTATTGTATATGATAATCAGTATGAATTTTATTCTCCGTGTGTTAATTGTAAACTAACAAAAAATGAGGCTATAAAATTAAAGCAATGCTATGCAGCTATATTCCAAAAAAACGCCAGGGATATTAGAGTAATTTTTAATTATAACTACTTTGCATTGTATATTTATTTATTTTTGAATACTTTTACAGATGTAATATCATTATTTATTATTTAGGACATTGAAGAAAGTTATATGAAGTATGGGAAACTTCGTACAAAAGATGGCAATATTGTATCTTCTAAATGGTGGAAAAAAGAAAATGATAGTAGTCGAAATGATTATTGTGTCGCTGTAAGAAATTGATAATTAGATTTTATAATTATTATAAATATCATTCAAATATTAAACAGAAAATTTTATTATAGATTAACTTAACTATTGATGAACAAGAAGAGGAGACTTTTGGACAAGTTGAATATTTCATGCTCCATAATATGCAAAATCAAGAACGAATGTTTGCATATATTCGAAAAATCAAAAAATTGGAGAAAAATATTGGAAATTTAAAATTTTTTGATTGCTTCGGTCCTCTACAATATGTGGAAGTAATTGGTATTGATAGAACTGTTGGATTTTTTGAAGTGTATGATAAAAAAAATTATTATATAATAGACAAATATGCAAACTGGTAATAACTGCAAGCTGATAATAAAATAACATTTTTTCATCTTTATAAGAATAAAGTTTTCGTAAATTTTTATTTATTTTGATGATCGGGAATGTCAATTTACTTTTAACTTTATAAAGGCCTAAATTTAAGGAAAATTAAGTTTCAATCGCTAATATTTTCGAGTTCAATAAATCTTTATATTGGTTTCATAATAAATAAACGAGAATTTCAAATTTTTTTTTGTCGTAAAATAATAATTTTTTTGACGTAATTGAACCAGTTGCGATAAACATACACGTGATCGGTACTACGGTTAAATGTTATCGATTTTATACATATAGGTATACGTTACGGCGGGTACACAGATATAAATCTGTCTCTTATACACATCTAGATGTGTATAAGAGACAGCTTCTCACGACTTCTCAACTTTGAGTTGGGATGAAGTTCTTTCTAAACTTCGCGAAGTTGAGGACCTTTGCGCTAAGTGCGCCCTTAAACAAGAAACTCTTTTTGCTCGTTACAACTCTCTTCCTGACAACTCTTCCGCCAAGTCACGTGCTTACCTCGCTTTTGGCCCTCTCCGGCTACTAGACGACTCTCTTTCTGAACAAAAATGCCTTTTACACTTGCGTTTGGACTCTCTTTCGTCTACTGCGGATTCAAAAAAGGATTTCGCTTTCCCCCCTGTTGACGATTATCCATCACATGATGATTCAATAAATGATGATCTACCTCCTCTTCCATTAACTATTTGGGCTTCTAAATACGAGGCTGATCCCAATATCATCTTAGATTTATGTACCCCCTCTACACGACGCACCAATCGTTTACGTCCTTCACGGCGTACTCCTAAATTTCTTTGTAAACGCGTATCTTCTATGATTTCCCCTGCATCTTTTAAACGCGCACAGAAAATTAAGACAAAATTGTCTTTTACGCGTCTGGTTTTATCCCCTTCTACAATACGTTTATTGGTTCCACCTTTATTACGTTCTTCCGAACCTGAAATTACCTTCCAAAATGAATTCCTAGACTCCTCTTTCATTACTCCTCAAATTTCAGCTCTTGTAGATACTGTAGAGTATGACAATAACGTTCCTCCTCCGGTCCTTTCTTTAAATAGTACTCCAGCAGATATTTTTCCTGCAACTCCTACTTCAGCCCTCCCTCTTGATCACATGCGGTGTTCACCTTACATTTTTACAATACGTACCATCTTGGATGGACGGATACGTCCTGCTTGAAATGTTGGCTCTAACCGTTTATATTCTATTCGACGAGGCAACTGTTACTTCCTTTTGGACCCCACTCCTGATTCGGATAATTGTTATTCGATTCATACCAATTCTCCTCTTCTTTCAACTACTGATCCCTTTCAATTTACATCTGATCGTCCTTCTCCTAACTTAAAATTTATTTTATCAAAATTTTTAACCTTTTTCTTTTACCGACAAAACCGTATTCCCTCTCATGCTCGACGAAAATATTTTAATAGGTTACGCTAGCTTTTATTAACACAACATGTTACTTCCCTCACTCGTTGGTCATCTTCTCATCGTAATAATAGACGTACTCGTACTTTTATTCAATTTCGATATCATCAATCTTGCTTTTACCTTGGCCTTTATTTTGGTTGCCCGTTTTGCAAGACTCCTGCTGCCTATGTTATGTCTCAATTTCGTCATGCTTGTCATATTCATGACAAAAAACTTGTTCATACACCTCCCCCTCCTCCTTCTCCTCCTTTCACCTTACCTTGTAACCGTGTGTCTAAAAGACACGCTGATGGCTTTTATAAAGATGTAACTTCCCGACGCCTAGGACTTTCCTACCGCAAATCTTATGCTTTTCACCATGTTCTTGAGGACGATAATGGTTCACTTTCTGCACGAACCCTTATCACATATTCTGATCACGAATCCATCTCCCACCCTACGAAGAAACAACTTGCCCGTCAAGTACGCCATAAAGACCTTTTATCAGATCGGAGCAAATTTTCACGACATGTTGTTCACCCTGATCTTCTCGATTCTTCTATGTGGATAGCCACCAAGGATCCTGCTATAGTCATTCCTCCTACCTCTTATAATTTGACTATGTCTACTACTGATTACTCAATTGTTCAGAATATACGTAATCTTGTATCCTCGCGTCCTGACGTTTCCTTCTGTTTGAAAGAATGTTCACATCACTCTTCAGTTGCGTTTGTATCTTCTAAATTTACAGGTTCTATCCAAAAAGTGGTTTTGAATCCCTCTTCTGTAGTTGGAAGTCATTTTATTACTGACAAACCCACCTCTGGTCCTTTTGTTGGTCCAAACTGCCCTGCTATTGATTATCAAGATTTCAAAACTCTTGGCTTTAGTCGTTCCATTATTGATATGGTTCGAAGGATACTCTCGAATAGTGCTTCTATTTATGTACCTTCTCACAACTTCCTCTGGTTAATAATTTCCAAGCACAACACTTCATCGGTATCGAAAAAGTATCTTCGAGATGCCATCCAATCTGTTATCACCAAATCGGCCTCCTCTTCGACATTTTCACATTTTTGGAATAGTGATACACGCTTTTCTTTCAAACTAGGTCGTGTTAAACCTAGTGATATCTTAATATTATTGGATGTTTGTGTACCTTGGTTTGATTCACATCCTTATCCTGTTCCTTCTGATTTTCGATCACAGTGGGTTTTACCTGCTGATTTTGTTCATCCTATTTTTTTAATGCGCTAATTGCGCTGGTTCCTTTTAATTATAATTACTCTCTTTTATTTTCTTTTCCTTATTCTCCTCTTTCACTTCTTTCATGCTTATTTTAAGCTTTCCTATTTCCCTTCTCTCTATGAATACAAATTTTATCATTCTGTATCGGAAATTTACATACAGCGCTTTAGCGATTGATGAATTTACCTTATTGAATTACAAATTTTTACAACATTTTATGTCAGCCAGAATTTACACATAAAACTTCAGTTAAAGATTAATTCGACTAGCTTGCTAGTGAAAAACTTTTCCATGCTTGGGAAGAGTCGCAGGGTATCTCAGCTGCTTTCAAATTACGTGGCCCTTCTACAACATCTTCTTCTATTGCTATTTCTCCACAAAAACACAACTCTTCTTTGGCGACAGTTTCTCAGGATTCCTGGATTTCTTGGATATCCTCTTCTATAATTCAGGGTGGATCATGGATCTCGCACTTGGATTTTCTGCGCCGCTTAACAGTTCAACCTCTTAGGGTCTCTTTCTGGTAACGGACTGGATTTTTGGATGTTGGATAGTTGATTCACACTGGCCTTCGGGTAAAGTTGGGGTATGCGATTCTGTAATAGTTTAGTTTTTCTTTGCTTTAATTTATTTTAGTTTAGATTTCTTTACTTGTATGAGTCGTGAAGCTACTCTTTTTATTTTTTTGTTTATTTTCTTATTTTTGTAATATTGTTCGATTATATTTTCGAAACTTAAAATAATAATAAAAGATATAGTCATAAGACTGTTTGCACAGTAAAAAGACGATTAATAGCTCGTTGGAATCGCCTCATCAAGACGAATCGAATGGTGGTAAGCTCATCTCTCTATGATCAATATTGACGGAGTTACTACTTAAAAACTATTTAATATTTTTTAATTTCGGAAATTGATCTAGTGATTGGATTTCGATGTATTTTATTCCATTAGATTTGTCGCATCAAGACGAATCGAATGGTAGTAAGATTGTTTCTCTAGGATCAATATTGGAAGAGTTATTACACAAAAACCATTAATATTTTTTTAATTTCGGAAATTAATCTAGTGATTGGATTTCGATGTATTTTATACCATTAGAACCGTCTCATCAACACGAATCGAATGGCGGTAAGATCATCTCTCTACGATTAATATTGGAGGAGTTACGATACAATAAATTTTAAATATAATTTTGGCCAAAATTATGTTAATTTTTGGCCGGAATTATGATATACTAATATAAGAAATTTTTTATATAGTCACATCTCTTTATAATCACCAAATATGGACTGTCCCAAATGTGTGACTATAAAGAGAGTTGACTGTACATATGTGGATATAAAAAAAATCTAAGAAAAAGTATTAATCATACTCGGGTTATTATAAATGTACCTATGTGGAACCAATATCAATGTATGTGGATTAGAGTCTAAAATAGTACGTGAAACAAATATCGATCAGGGTCTAAAATAGTACGTGAAACAAATATCGATCAGGGTCTAAAATGGTACGTGGAACAAAGATCGAAACCGCAGAAAAACACGATATATTTTAAAAGTATCCAAAAATTTTCAGTAAAATAAACATAAAATATAAAAACCAATAAATTAAAGCCCGTCGGCAAATTTTTTGATAAATCTGATTAAATCCTGATGCGAATACTAAAAAAGTATACATATGTAGTTATTCAGTAAAATTCGAAGCAGATATCACATATACGTACCAGGGACGATGATTTTTTGTTGTGATAAAATTTATAAAATATGTTTGTAATAAACTAGTATTTTGATTTTGTTTATTGGTGATATTTTGTTGGTTAATTAGCTTAATAAAGCAAAAAATATGAAAAAAAAACTAAATTAACAAAAAACTAGCTGTAAGTAAGAATCAAGATGCTGAAGTCGTGGTCAATAAAGGGGAAAATAGGCAAATTTTTTTGTTGAAAAAAATCGAGAGTATGAACAAATTCTTTTGAAAAAGGTGAAATAAAATGAAAAATGGTAGTAATTACTACCCTGATGGTAATTACCCCTTTGTTGATTATCTTGTAAAATAGCATGAATTTTCGCTATTTTTTTCATTTCTGGTATTAACTCGCAATTCAGCTTCATATAATCTTTAGCATAAAAAATCAGTCGAAACTAAGAATTCCACCGTGTTGCATTAGGTAACGGAATTTTACGTGGTGATGCAATTCCATGTTCTTTTAAGTGAACTGTGTACGTCTTCGTGTAGGAGCATTAACAAAAACGTTCTTTATATCTTGCAGAAAGCTTTTTAGATGTTAAATTGGGAAAAGTCTCGCTGAAAAAAAAATTTTTTTATTAGTAAAGACAGGTAAGATTCAAAGATTAAGATTATCATGAACTATACCCGATTTATGCGCACAACATGGCGCATGTATAACTGAGCATAACACTTTTCATATAAGCCGCAGAATTAGCGTATAATTTTAACTTTACCGAATATTTCCGAGTTCTTTAAATTTTGCTAAGTGTCCCAACCTTTTTGAAAAATCCGAAAGCATCCAGTTTATTCATATCTAATCCAGATTTAAAAATAAATCTGGTTTGAAACTCTAGGTGCGAAGGATTTCGAGCGTAATATTTCGTAATGATTCCGGTACGTACATTTTCATAGGATTTCGAGCGTAATATTTCATAACGATTCCGGTACGTAAAACTTGCGAAGGATTTCGAGCGTAATATTTTGTAACGATTCCGGTACATAAATTTTTGAAGGATTTTGAGCGTAATATTTCGCAACGATTACGGTACGTAAATTTTCGAAGGATTTCGAGTGTAATATTTTGTAACGATTCCGGTACGTAAATTTTCGAAGGATTTTGAGCGTAATATTTTGCAATGATTACGGTACGTAAATTTTCGAAGGATTTCGAGCGTAATATTTCGTAACGATTCTGGTATGTAAATTTTCGAAGGATTTCGAGTGTAATATTCCGCAACGATTATGGTACGTAAAATTTGCAAAAGTATATGCTATAATATTCTGGAAGTTTACGATACCTGTAAACTTACGTATGTTTACTCCATAAATTTACGGACATCGTAACTTACGTAATATTATGCCCGATTAAATTTGCTGATGACTACTTCGAACAATAGCAAGAAAAGTTCGCGCAATGGTAGATCAAGTAGTAGAATATAAGGATTTTAATATACCGTATCTATTATTCACAGTAAAATACGTTATAAACGTATGATTTAATATACCGTATCTATAGCAGAAATGAATGATACGTTATAGATGTATGAATTTAATATACCGTATCCATATTTTGCAAACAGTATACAAAATACCGATATACAGTAGAAAGATATTTATACAATATACATTACAAATGTATAAAATTAAAATACCATATCATACAGTCTATTTACTGTATACTTTGTTACATTTTTTATTATTGGCATTTTGCGAACAGTATACATAATACTGATGTGCAGTATATAAAATTGCGAACAGTATCAAAGATATGAATATACAGTATATAAACAGTGTGCATATTTTTTATAGGGCGGTAGTTGTGCTTCATCATAATGGTCTAATAGTGAAAAGAGGCTGGCTGGTTGGTTTCCTGATGTCCATCCACCTGGTTTCCAGTTTTCATAGGGTAGTAGGATCTGTAACTTTCTATCTGGAATTCGCGTCTGGAGAGTCTGACCGAGTCTGGCGATAGCTCCTCTGGAAAAGCGGGCACCGGAATACTGAAGTTTCTTGATGTCAGATCGTGTTGGTAAAGTGCGGGCGATTCTTGAGTATTGCATTTTTATGTATATGATTTGTCTTCAACTATAAATAATATCTTTCTATATATATACGAAAAAAAGAAATAATCTCGAATAGCGCTTACAATAAGTCGTTGATAGCGCCTTCAGTATCCTCTTCATCCCAGTCGTTGACAATTCCATTGGCGGCTTCCCATTCACATTCCATATTAGTCTTTAGACGTTCCTCAGGGATCTCTCGCGCTTTACCCTTATCTGCCCTCATAGTTTCATAACCAGAGGGGGTGAGGATAATTTCAGCATCACGATTATCCTTGTATACTCTTATTAAATCCGTGAGTTCTTTACGGCTAGGTGTTTTAGATAAGTATCCATTATATTTGATCCAATCCTTGAAGCGGTCTACTACTTCCCTAAGATAGTACTGGTACTTGTCCTCAATACATGTTGTGGGCATTCCTCTACTTCAAACGTGAGTATTTCCCAGTCATAGTCGTCTGATGCGTCTTGGTACTTAGCCCATAAATCCTTACCTGTATTGTAGAGATCATTGAAGACCTGGTCCTTTGAATTTTTAACCCACGGTTTGCGATCTCATCGGTGTCTTTCTTGCCAAGCCCAGTGCGTTCGAGTGCCTTCCTTTGGTTCAGGATCCTGGTCGACTTCTGGTTCTGTATCAGGTTCTGGGATAAATTGCTCTTCAGGAGCCAGTTCTGGGTCAGGCTTAGTGACAGATGCAGAAGATTTTGTGGGAGACTCGGGTTGTTGTTCAGGAGTTGGGTCCACGGTTGTAGAATCCGAGTCTGATAATAAGTCGTCTAAGATGTCATAGTTATCTGGCTCGGGAGCAGATGGTTTTTCAGGAACTGGGTTTGCGGTTGTAGAATCTGAGTCTGATAACAAGTCGTCTAAGACATCATAGTCATCTAGCTCGGGGCAGACGGTTTTTCTTCCCTTAACTCTTGTAGACGTTCTTTTAAGTGGCCAGGCTTGGGTGGAAGCGGTGGAGGAGTCTTGCGAATTACAGGTGCGGGTTTTTCCTCAGCGGATTTCTCTTGTACGTCTTGTGGATTGTTAGCTAGATTATATATATTTGCCAAGAACTTCTCCAAGGCTTTGGGGTCTGATGCGGGTTTCTTAGAAGTCTCTATATCAATTCCTTCTATGTCTATCTCGTCTGTTTTGTAAATCCAGTTTTTGCCGAAGAACTTCTTGTAGAGGTCCTCCCTGGATATGCTGTAAACCCATGGTATTTTTCCA